CGAGGCCTTCCTGCTCTCTGCTCCCTGTGCCCTGCCACCCTCTAGTGCCAGGGTCACATCTTTTGTAAGTTGGCTCCAACCACAAAAGCTCCCACCGCAAGGTCGAGAGAAGATTCCATCATTACGGCTGGGGAGCATCAGACACAGCAGACATGACGGCAATAGTCCTGCTTGTTGGGCATGTGGTATGTCCTAGGCACATGCTAAGAATGTCATAAGCCCAGTCTCATGAACTGAGTTCAAGCGTGTGGCCTTAGCATGCAGTGTCTAGACACAGCAAGTGCTCAATAAATGGCAGCTATTATGCCCATCGTTCCTCAGAACACCCCATCAGGTAGGTACTGTTATTTGTCACCCCTAGTTTTCAGATGGATGAAAGAAAGGTTAAGAGAAACAGTGAATATGTGGGGGGGGTACACCTCGAGCCCAAACCTGTCTGACTCTGTCTCCAGCCTGGGAGTTTTGCATGTGACAGCACTACTTTTGGGCCCTTTTTGAAAAGCTTCTCTCAAAGCATTTAAAATGTAAAAGGGGCCAGGCGTGGTGGCTCACACATGTAATCCCAGCACTTCTGGGAGTCTGAGGCAGGAGGATTGCTTAAGGTCAGGAGTTCCAGACCAGCCTGGACAACATAGCAAGACTCCTCCTCCCAGCTCTACAATAAATAAATAGACAGGCACAATGGTGCACACCTGTGGTCCTAGATACTTGGGAGCCTGGAGTGGGAGGATCGCTTGAGCCCAGGAGTTTGACACTATCATTAGTTATGATCATGGCACTATACTCCAGCCTAAGAAACAGAGCAAGACCTTGTCTCAAAAAAATAAAAACAAGTAGCCGGGCTCGGAGGCTCAGACTGTAATCTCGTGCTTTGGAAGGCTGAAGTAAGTGGATTGCCTGAGCTCATGGGTTCGAGACCCGCCTGGGCAACTTGGCGAGACCGCATCTCTACAATAAATCAAAAAATCAGCCGGGCGTGGTAGTGCATGCCTGTAATTCCGTCCACTTGGAAGGCTGAGGCGGAACGATCGCCAGAGCCCAGCAGGTCGAGGCTGTGGTGGCCGGAAGCGTGCCACTGCACTCCAGTCTGGGCGACAGAATGAGACTCCAACTCAAAAAATAAAAATAAATAAATAAATAAAAACAAGTAAAAGGTTTCAATGCTTGAAATAGTATGCTTCTATGGCTTGGAGGATTTCATTTTTTAAATTTATTTTTTTTGAGTTGGAGTCTCACTCTGTTGCCCAGGCTGGAGTGCAGTGGCATGCTCATGGCTACTGCAGCCTCTACCAGCCAGGCTCTGCTGATCCTTCCACCTCAGCCTTTCAAGTAGCTGGAACTACAGGCGTGGGCCACCACACCCGGTTAATTTTTTCATTTACTGTAGAGACAAGGTCTCACCAAATTGCCCAGGCTGGTCTCGAGCCTATGTGCTTTGGTGATCCTCTCACTTCTGCCACCCAAAGTGCTGGGATTACAGGCGTGAGCCACTGCGCCCGGCAGAGGATTTCTTTACGTAAAATTCTATGCTTCAGGAAAGATTCTCCTCAAAAATCACACCAATCTGTGTTAGTCCTTCACCAGTGCCATCTACCTGCAGCAGGTTTAATCCTGTTAAACCAGCCTGTCTTCCCTCTTAATTTGAATAAACCCAGTCTGTAGCATTTAAAGGAGTTCACCACATTCCCTTTCAAGTGCCAAGAACACTAAGACAAGCTGTTCTAGGCCTCGCTTGACCTAGAAACACCTTAAGGTCAGGTTCCAATCATCTCTAGATGACATCACATCTTTTTTTTTCTACTTTTTTGAGTCAGGGTCTTACTCTGTTATCCAGGCTGGAGTGCAGGAGCACGTCTGGGCTCACCACAGTCTCGACCTCCTGGGCTCAGGCGATTCCCTCTGCCTGTCTCCTGAGTAGCTGGGACTACAGGCACGTGCCACCACTCCCAGCTAATTTTTTGACTTTTTTGTGGAGATAAGGTCTTAATATGTTGCCCAGGCTGGCCTTGAATTCCTGGGCTCAAACAATCCTCTTGCCTCCTCCTCCCAAAGTTCTGGGATTACAGGTGTGAGCCACTGTTCCTGGCTGTGACATCAAATGTTGCTGGCAGCAAGGTCAGAGTAGTTTAGAGTTAAGAGCAATCGTTGACTGGAAGCAGCGGCATATGCCTGTAATCCCAGTCCTCTGGGAGGCGGAGGCAAGAGGGGTGTCAGGGGTTCTAGACCAGCCTGGGCAACTTGGCACATTGTTTAAGCTCTCTGGTGTTCAGCGCCTTCATCTACAAACTGAGATCATTCTTAGCACCGACTTCCTGAGGTTGTTGCAAGGAGTCATGAGATCATGCTTATAAGGCCTGGGCAGCCTCGGAGTTTAATAATTGTCAGTTTTTAAATATTGGTGAGAATGATAAAGAAAGATGCCCGAGAAGGCTGAGCTCCATCCCTCCAGAAGGAAGGTTGATCTTATTTGAATGAGTATCTCTGCTTGGCAGACCTCTCAACTGCTCGGCAGAAACTCCTCAGAACCAGCCCTCCCTGGGGCAGGCTCTGGATTCCAGCTGAGTCGAAGTCTTCCAGTCTCTAGGCCAACGCTGTTAGCCTTCAGAAAGGATCAGAATCACTCAGAGAGCTGTTTATAAGGCAGGTTCTTAGCAGTCTCCTTCCAGGAATCTAGTCTAGGTTTTGGGTAAGGTTGGGTATGTTTAACAAATGGTCCAGGAAATTTGCTCACAGGGTCCAAAATACTGCCCTAAACCAGAAATAGACACACTTTTACTGTAAATGCTTTTTTGTTTTTTGAGTCTGGGTCTCACTCTGTTGCCCAGGCTGGAGTGCAGTGGCACAATCATGACCACTGCAGCCTCGACCTGCTGGGCTCAAATGATTCTTCTGCTTTGGCCTTCCAAGTCCCTGGAATTACAGGCAGGTGCCAGCACCCCAGGCTCATTTTTTGATTGATTGTAGAGACGACATCTTGCCATTGCCCAGGCTGGTCTCGACTCCTGGGTTCCGGCATTCTTCTCACCTCGGTCTCCCAAAGTGTTGGGATTTCAGGTGTGAACCACCGCACCCAGCCTGTAAATGCTTTTGAGTAAACACTTCTAGTTTCGTGGGCCAGATGTCTGTCCATAACTACTAAACTTTGATGCTGTGTCACCAAAACAGCCGGATTCATAAATGAATGGAATAAATGGATGCAGCTGTGTGCCAATAAAATGTTTCTCACACAGATAGGTGGTGGGTCAGATATGACCTGTGAGCCTCCGCTCTTTTCTAAATATAACCAATAAACACAAAGAGATGCGTGTATACAAAAGTGATATTTCTTTAGTTTAAAAGTATGACCTGGAAAGAACTAGTCAGTTTAAGTAATCCAGGCCTCTTTATCCGCAAGTGGAACAGACACAATATTGGCTCAGATTTCCAAACCCAGAGAAAAACCAAACCAGCTCTCAAATCTTTGCGAGTCCCTGCAGCTACCCTGCTGAGGCCGTCAGGCTGTGTGGAGTGAGGGCGTCCTGGCTGCTGGGGCTGCTGCCTTCCAGCCATGCTAACAGTGTTCCTTCCTTGCCCACCTCTCTTGCTGGGCCCGATCCCTCTCCACCTCCCGGGAGCTGGCGTTGTGCCCAAACCTGCACAGGGAGGCTGGTGGCACAGAGTCACCTTCTACTAGCAGTCTTCAGGGGATCTCCCTGTGACCGCAAGAGCGGAGCTGAGCAGTTCTACACGTCCGTGCCCAGCAGGGCAACACCCTCACTAGTTTAGCTGAGATCTGGAGCCTGGAGTCGGCACCATGGGTCATGAGAGGCCAAGTCGCCGACAGCAAAACCGCAAGGTTGGGACATGCTGTGGGGAGATGCAAGGGCCTCGGTAATCAATGGTGAGTCCGAAAATGAAACAAATGCCCTCTGGGTCCAATCCTTCCAGATGTCTCAGCGGAGAAAGTGTGACGAGAAAGTGTGACGACGGGCCAGGGAATAGCACCTCCTTCAGCTTGCCGGGGTCGGCCAGCTCCTCCCCAGCACGGAACACAGAGGGCCCCACCTCTCACGCCAGCTTTGCCTCTACTGCTTCCATTCAGGGCCAACGGTGGCTTCCGGTTCGCTCAGCTGGAGGGAGTCTCAGCAGAACACGAGGTACTAGGCACTGACCGCAGCAGGGCGAGTGAGTCCAGGCGGGATGCTCAGTATGAGAGGAAAGGAGAATGGGCTGCCCTCCTCCTCCTGGAAGCCTTCCCAGGAAGGGCTCAGGTACAGAATAAATAGAGCCGGCTTGGAACAAGCCTTCTGGAAAAAGCCACAGGCCCCCTGAGCCCCCAGGCCATGGGGCAACAAGCTTCCACAATGGCGTGCCTTCTCTAAAACCGACACCAGCCAAGGCTTGACCTGAGTCAAGAGCTCTGGGGCACACCACCAGAGGGCTGCCCAGAGATGCTGTGAAGACCAGAGAGTGGCTGAGCTATCCTCAACACACACAGCATTCCGGAGCCACAGTGCAGAGGCAACCCAGGGCACTCGCGAGGGCTGGCGCTGTGCCCGGGCGGGGTGGGGGGAGCACGGCAGTAATCCGCGTCCCCTGAGAAACGAGGCACGCGCAGGAGCAGAGAAGAGCGGGCTTCCCCTCGGGCTCAGTCCCGCCGCCTCTCGAGGGAGGAAGGTATTACTGCCCAACTGCCAGCACCACTGTCGCGATCTTACTCAGAGGGACGTCACGGGGCAGGGCCGATCAGCACAGACCCCAGCAGGTTGTCCCTTACCACTGTCTTAGACCAAGTCTGGGTCGTGTCACAAGCCCTGGCTCACGACAACATATGTCCTGTCACACACACACATCTCCCCCGGCTAAACATTCTTCTGGATTTCGGGGGAGTAAGTTTGGGTCCCAAGAGCCCCACCAGTGCCTCTTCCCAGTCTCCCGGATTTCTCAGGAACAGGGGCTCCCTAGATGTTTCCCAGAGAGGGCGCTGCCCACGGGGCCGACAGATCACGGAACCCACTTACAAGACCCCAGAGCCGTCATCCAATCATGGCAGAAGTAAGCTCGACCCCGCCCTCACTGGATAATGCCATCTGGCTGCCCGTTCTGAGTCACCTGTCCGGGCTCGGAGGCAGGGGCAGGGCTGGGCGTGTGGCTCTGCAGATAGCGGCGGAAATCCTTGATCACGGGCCGGAGCACCTGGATGAGGACACTCAGGGCGGCCTGGGTGCCCTCCATGGCCTGGGCCTGACGCTCCTGGGCACAGGCCTGCACCTCTTGTGAGCGGCGGATCATCTGTAGCAGGTCGTTCTGCTGCTCCAGGTGCTGGGCGATCTCCTTCACATGCAGGTTGGTGACCCGCTGCTCCTGGATCAGCTTGGCGGAGTTGAGGGCGATGCGGCTCTTGAGTGCCTGCGGCTTGACAGAGGCGTCCGCGTGCTGGGCCATCATCTCCACGGGGGCCTCGGCCGGCAGAGGCGCGGGGGCCTCGGCTGTGCAGTACTCCACCACGCCCTCCTCCAGCGTGTGATAAGTGGTCTCTGTGGGTACTGCAGGGAAGAAAGAACAGAGGCCAGGGCAGGTTACTTTCTGGAAGGAAAGATGCTGGCCGAGTGGGTAGGAAGGAGGCCATGACGCCTTGTCCTGGAGGATCTCCCAGGGAATTCTGGCCTCCCCTGGTTAAATAGCTATTTATGTGAAAATCTAGAATCTAAGAATCTTAATCTACCTGGAAACCAAAGGGCCAGTCATGGATCTGGCAAAAGCAAAAATGCTAATAAGAAAACTAGCAAAACTGACTGGGCACAGTGGCTCACACCTGTAATTCCAGCACTTTGGGAGGCCAAGGTGGGAAGACTGCTTGAGCTGAGGAGTTTGAGACCAGCCTGGCCAACATAGCAAGACCCTGTCTCTCGTTTTAATAAAATAAAAAAATATGACTGGGCATGGTGGCTCAGGCCTGAAATCCCTGAACCTTGGGGGGCAGAGGCGAGAGGATTGCCTGTGTCCAAGGGTTCAAGACCAGCCTGAGCAACTTGGCAAGACCTCATCTCTACAATAATTAGGAAAAAAAAAAGCTGGGCATGGTGGTGTGTGCCTGTAGTGCCAGCCACCTGGAAGCCTGAGGCAGAAGGATTGCCTGAGCCCAGCAGGTCAAGGCTGTGGTAGCCACGAGTGTGCCACTGCACTCCAGCCTGGGTGACAGAGTGAGACTTTGATTCAAAAAAAAAAAAGCAGCTGGGTGTAGTGGCTCAAGCCTGTAATCCCAGCACTTTGGGAGCCTGAGGCGAGAGGACTGCCTGAGCTCAGGGGTTTGAGACCAGCCTGGGCAATCTGGCAAGACCTCGTTTCTACAATAAATCGAAAAATAAACCAGGTGGCACACACCTGTAGTTCCAGCTACTTAGAAGGCTGAGGCAGAAGGATCACCAGAGCCTAGCAGACTGAGGCTGCGGCAGCCATGAGCGTGCCACTGCACTCCAGCCCGAGTGACAGAATGAGACTCTGACTAAAAAAAAAAAAAAAGTAATACTAGCAAAATTTTAGAGCAGGTACTACACGCCAGGCACTTTGTACTAATTTTCAGAGATGAGGAAATAGAAATGTGGGGTGACTTGCCTAAGGCCACAGAGCTCATTCAGCAGAGCCAAGAAGCAACCCAGGTTTCTCCAGTGCCAGTGCCCAATGTTGCTGATAATCCCTCCACTGAGCTGCTCCTAGCTAAGACAGTCACCTCAGTCACATGCTCTCCAAAATGCCAGCAAGCAGCAGGCATCTTGAGTGGGACTCTACATGACTTCTTTGCAGTCATACTAGTCTTACCTCCTTGGATGCTTTCTCTCTTTCTTTCTTTTTTAATGTTTTGTAGAGATGAGGTCTTATTTTGTTGCCCAGGCTGGTCTCAAGCTCCTGGCCTCGAGCAATTCTCCCACCTCGGCCTCCCCAAGTGCTGGGATGACAGGTGTGAGCTGCCATGCCCAGCCACTTGATGCTTTCTTGACTTCCATGTCCCTTGTGGCCAAGGAGAAAAGGAGGCAGGAATGGGGCAGTGGCAGCTTAAGTGCCCAATCACTTTGCGTTCCAGAAAAGCATCTCACTTAGACCAGTATTTGTCTCCCTTTCCCACCTCAATATATACTTGGGAAATACGACACTGCAGGGGCCCGACGCTCACACACACACCAGTTCCCCAAATCCCACTAAGAACCACGGATTGATCTAGTTCACAGCGAGCAGAGGCAAGTCACCGGCACAAACCCTTCTCTGAACTAAAAAGTCTGACTGACCGAAGTTAGTTCTGTTGTCGTTCATAGCTAAGAACCCTCAAAGGGCTGTTGGGGCCTCCATACGTGTGGGAGACAGAAAGCTCCTGCACCCTTTAATGCCAACAGCAGCTGAGTGTCCCCACCCCACCAGGAAGGCACCTATCTTCTTCTGGGGTCTTAGGTTTTCCCAAATGATAATGAAGGTATTCATATGCGAGGGGTCCCCAAAAGGGGAATTATCTTTTTGGAGGGCAGGCCCCTTGTAGCACGGGCTTCCCTCACTAGTACATGTTCTAGGAACCATCGACTGCAGTGGATCAGCTAGTGTTGCTCTACGTCACAATTTGTGGAAGAAACATCCAGAGCTGTGACAAACAGATGACTGGCTCCTCCACCATGACAACGCACCTGCCCATACCATGCTGAGTGTTCAGCAGTTTTTCATCAAAACTGGCAGGACCGCCGTGCCCCACCTTCCCTATTCGCCCAATCTTGTCCTGAGTGACTTTTTTTTTGTTTCCCTGAATGAAAAAGTCCTCAAAGGGAAACATTTTGCCAATGTGGAAGAGATGAAACAAAAAACAGCAGAAGCACTCAACGGCATCAAAATCGACAAGTTCAAAAACTGTTTTGAGCAGTGGAAAAAGCATCTTGACAGGTGTATTGCATCAAACGGAGAGTCCTTTGAAGGTGACCAAAGTTTAAACATATAAGAATACATACACAAGTTTTATAAATAAAGTTTGGGCTTTTTGGGCCCCCCATATGTGTCTCATCTGTCCTATTAGAACATAATTGGCCTATCGTTTAGACACCTTGGTAATCCCAGTGCTCAGCCCAGGGTTTGGCACAGAATAGACGCTAATGCTAGATGAATGAGTGAGATTAGCACCAGGAACCATGAGGTTCCCGAGCAGAACCTAATGAAGGTTTGCCGCACTGAAAACAGAAAGTCTTTGTCCAGGATCGTTGTCTCACTTGGCCATCAACATTCCCATCTATTCACTCAACAAAGACGTTCTGGCTGCCTGCTGTGTGTCAGGCCCTGTGGGGACACAGACATGGTCTCTGTCTTCAGGACCACACAGTTCAGCCAGTGGAGGTTAAGTCATGGACAAACATGGCGGCAACAGCGGTAGAGCTATCCAGCTCGGCAGAAGTCCAGCCCACGTGCTGAGGAAGTCCCAGAGAGAACAAGATCACTTCTGTCTGGGGCACTCTTGGAAGCCCTGTGGTCTTCCAAGGCCCCCAGCTGACCTTCGACCCGTGGCAGCCAACCTTCCCCAGGCCACCCCAGAGCTTGCCGGCCCGTCCCATTTATGCATGATGGCTGGGCAGGAGAGGTCACTCACTCTGTGTCAGGGTGACCGTGGCTGCAGCTGCAGTGGCTGTGGGTCCGAGGGCCACAGGGTGGATCTCCGTGGCACTGGGCAGGCTGATGATGGTGGCCTCGCCCAGCAGGTTGCAGATGCGTTGCTGCATGGGGGTCAGCAGTACGGGGGCCACAGCTGGGCCGCCGCCGCCGCCGCCTGGCCCAGGCCCGCCAGCTCCATCCTCCTCAGCGGGCCCTGGGGCCTCGCCCCCCTCCACGGCGGCCCGCACCTGGGCCACCTTGCGACGGACCTCGGTCTTGAGGTCGGACCACTTCTTCTTGACCTCTGGCAGCTCCCTGCGGCAGGTGGCCACGGCGTTGACCCTTCTCAGGATGCCGTGCCAGGCCGCGCTCTTGGCGGCCAGAGGGACCCCGGCGTTGAAGTGGTTCACCAGCAGGTGCTTCTTCAGCTCCAGCTCCTCCACGATGATCTCCACCTCCCGCTCAGAGAAGTTCATCTTCCTCTTCTTGGCTGGGACGGCCATGGCCTCTCCCCGCCCCTCTTTTAAAATAAATTATGATCCCTTCAATCCCCCCAGTCTCCGTTCTCTTTCCTCAGCCTCGCCCCTCACCACCCCCCTACAGGGGATAGGTCCGGCTGACTCAAGGCCAAGCACTAGGCCCTTGGAACCCCCCGCTACGCAAAGTGCGTAGGGCCCAGCACCGACCCGCCCGGCCGCTGCCAGCCAGCGGCGTAATGGCTTCCTGAATCTGCCTCTTCCGCCGGGGTGTGCGGAGATCCGCCCACTTCCCCTCTTCCCGCCTCCCGGCGCCTCTCCGGGAGAAGCCGCCCTCCCGGTTGGTCGCGGTTCAAGCATCACGTCGGTCACTGGCTCTTTCTGTCTGTCGCTCAGCTAAAGGGCCCGCCTACTTCCTGAAATTAGCCTGATTACTGGTCGAAAGGCGTGTCTGTCGCTCCAGAGCGCCCTGCCCCCAGCCTTTATTCACTGCCATTAGGAAACCACTCTGTCGTTCGGTTAGTACTGCGCCTACCGTGCCGTTAAGTTCGGCTATTTTATTGGTGGTTTAGGGAATCAGACTACCCAAACCCCGCTTCCTCAGTATACCGAGTGCTTTCGGCCTTGAGCCGTTGGCCGAGTAATTTTTAATTCCCTCACGAAGAAACTCTGCCTTGCCACTGCAGTGCACAGCGGCGCCCACACAAATCCTGCTTCGCCCCGAGCTTACGCGCTCTCCGTGCAAGACCGCTCCGCTCACCCTTAGGTTCCGCTGTCTAGTCAGCGCTTATCAATGGCAAGGGGACACGGGCCCCGCCGCCGGCCGCCACGTGACTTCGGCCTGTCGCGGCCCGATACCCGCGCCCCGCCCGGCTCAAGCCAATCCCCGCCTCCCTCAGCTCGA